TAGGGAAAATAGAAAAGAACCTATGTTGAAATATTGGGGGCTGGTTCCCCTGATAAGAGAGAAGGGGGATAAACTTATCTTTTAATCAGAAACCCACTCGTTCAGTAATGAACCCACTCCCACAATAGCAGCGTTAATTCATTCACGAGAGCAAAACCCTCACGACTGAATCAGCTCCTAAGGTTCCACCTTGAACCTCTCAACCCCTGCACTGGAAATTAAGTTACATGAACTTCGAGGGAAGCATTCAGACCACAGCAGTATGTGTCTGTCTGTATTTAGGTGTCCATATCTATGTATCTGTATCTACATGTATCTACAGGCAGTTCCTAACTTAGGGAGGTTTGAGTAACAATTTTTCACCTTTTCAGCAGTGTGAAAGCAATACATGTCAGTACAAACTGTACTCCGCAAACCTGTACAACTAGTTTTTCACTTCCAGTATTCAATAAATTTCATTTGATATTCAATGTTGCATTATAAATAGGCTTTGTGTTAGATGATTTTGCCCAACTCTAGGCTAATGGAAGAGTTCTGAGAATGTTTGAGGTAGGCTAGGCTATGATGTTCTGTAGGTTATATGTATTAAATGCATTTTCAATTTATGATTTTTCTGCTTACGATGAGTTTATCAGGACTTAATCCCATTGTAAGTTCAGGAGCATCTGTATGTATCTGTATCTACATTTATGTTTTCTGTACCTATGCATCTATAGCAATGCATCTCTATCTATATCTGTATTTGTATCTCTATCCATGTATCTGCCTATAATTTATATCTGTATCCGTTTGTATCTGTGTATCAGTCTCTATGTATCTGTTTGCATCTATACCTCTGTATATATGTCTGTAACCATATCTCTAACTGTCTCTATACAGACATATAGCTACCCTGGCTTCTCCCCAAGGGAGACAAAGATTTTAAATCAAAGAGACTCCTTCTCCTCCCCAGACCTGAAGGCACTCTCCTTCCTTCCTCAGTAGGGCCAGCAGAGAACAAGCCATTTTGAAGGCTGAGGCTAAAGCGCCCCTGACATCCACAGAGTCCCTGTCCTTTGGAGGAATGGGGTGTCTAGGCTCTGTGGCTTCTGGAAAATCAGGTGTTATGGGCTGAACTCTGTCCCCTCAAATTCATATGCTGAAGCCCTAAGCCTCTGTACCTAAGAACAAGACCATTTGGAGACAGGTTCTTTAAAGAAGTAATTATGTTAAAACGAGGTCACTAGGGTGAGCTTTAATCCAATGACTGGCCTAAGCAGTCATTTATTTTAAGAGGAGATTAAGACGCAGATGCACAGAGTGAAAACCATGTGAGGACTCAGGGAAAAGACAGTTATCTACGAGCTAAGGAGAGAGGCCTCGGGACAAACCAACCCTGGCGACCTCCTCGATCTTGGACTTCTGGCTTCCAAAACTGTGAGAAAATAAATTTAAGCTGTGCAGGCTGTGGTCCTGTGTTACGGCAGCCCTACAGACTAAGACACCAGGGAATGCTGGGCCTACGGGCATGTTCGCATTTTGTGTAACTGGAATCACAGAGTGAATGAAAAGCCATTTCCCTGCCTTATAGCAGAGAACAATTTGAGAAGGGACAGTGGGCAGTGTGTGTGTTTGGCAGTAGATGCCTGGTGGGGGGTGTTACTGGAAGTGGCTCAGCTCTGCCCTTTTCTCCTCAACCCTAGGCCCAGCAGGCCCCACAGTGACCCTTTGCTGTCTCCCAAATTCTTGCCTTTTCAGGATGAACTTTGCCAGGACACAGGGAAACTGCATGTCCTAATGCAAACACACAGCTTCCTAAAAGTTTTTAATTTTCAAATTATGCAGGCAATACGTGGGTTAGATGCATATCATCTTGAAGCACATACTCCCCAAACCCAAACCTCTCCTTAGGGAACCATTATTTTGTGTGCATCTGTCCAGGCATTTTCTTATTCAGTTATACGTTCACATGTGAGTATGTACCCGTATAGAGCTTTTAACTTTTTAAACAAATGGGGTCATGCAATACTTGTTATCCCAAAACCTGCTTTCTTCATCTGGAAATAAGGCTCAGGTCTTGTGGGTAAATGAGGAATTGACCCAGATGGCACAAACTCTGGGATCCTCTGAAGAGATGAGAGGGACAAGACCCCCAATCCCCATCCACAGCACTCCCTGCAGGGGTCAGCGCTGGAACCTCCATGGCACCCCCTGGCCCAGAGGTTGATAAGTTTTCTGCCAAGAGCCAGTTAGTATTTTCGGCTTTGCAGGCCATGCGGTCTTTGTTGCAACTATTCAGCTCAGCTGTTTTAGCCTGAAAGCAGCCACAGACAACATGCAAATCAATGGATATGGCTGTGTCCAAGAAAACTCAGTCTACAGAGGCAGGTAGTGGGCCACACTGCTGCAGTTTGCTGACCTCCGCACTTGAATCTGGAATCTTTTAAGGCTGCCCCATTCAGCTCTTGCTCCCCTTCCAATCTGCCTGTTGCTACCAATGTCCCAGGAAGGCATAAGGACCTCAAGCCAGCTGTGCTGAGAATCATCTGGAAGATTCTAAAGGCCGAGAAGCTGAAACTTCAGGAGGTGGAGCTTAGGCGGGAATACTCTTAAAGCTTCCCAGAGCCGGGTGCGGTGGCTCACGCCTGCAGTCCCAGCACTTCGGGAGAGCGAGGCGGGTGGATCGCCTGAGGTCAGGAGTTTGAGACCAGCCTGGCCAACATGGTGAAACCTTCTCTCTACTAAAAATACAAAAATTAGCTGGGCTTGGTGGTACCTGCCTGTAGTCCCAGCTGAGGCAAGATAATTCCTTGAACCCAGGAAGCAGAGGTTGCAGTAAGCTAAGATCATGCCACTGCACTCAGGCCTGGGTGACAGCAAAGACTGTCTCAAAAAACAAAAACCAAAAAACTCCCCAGGCCATTCAATTATGTAATGAGTTTGAGGACTCGTTCTGTCCTCCAGGAATGATGGCCACTGACAACAAGGAGTGGGGTGGGGATGGGGCCCTGAAGGTAACGTCCCCTCAGCAATGACAAAAGGGACTCTAGTGAAGCTGGGAGACACAGGGGTGGTGGGTTCCTGGCGCTGGGCCCCACGCCGCGTGGGTGGTGAAGGAGCCAGGCAGAGCCACCTCGGAACCCCAGCTGTCACTGACCACGGTGAGACATGGAAGCCAGATGACCAGGACAATGTCTGAGACAGGGGCCTGTTCTGCGCAGGCCCTGCGGTTCTAGAGGGTTTAAGTCAGTAGAGAGAGAGAGAACAAAAAACCAGCAGACTTGAATACAACTTCCCTTCCCACCCTCTGTCACTGAACGTCCTGTACACCCCCTCCCACTGGCCATGCTCCAGCCAGGAGTTTGATGACCGAGGGGCCTGGAGTCCGTTCTGAAAGCGTTTCTGCATTTTGGTTGACAGAATTAGTCGTCCTCCCAGACGCCCAGGGAGCGCGAGGACCTCTCACTGAAGCCTCTGCCACTCTTTAAAGGGCGGAGTTGGTAAAGCGATGGCAGGTGATCCTCGCGCAGCCCTGGGGAGGCGCTGCGGCCCCCAGACCCTAAGAGTTTAACCGCACAGCCCCAAAGGTCCCGTCTGCAGCCGACAGCGATTCACTGAAAGAAAAACCAGCCCTCGCAGCTCTGCAGACGCTGAGGGAGGCTCTGATGCCACAAGCCTTTCCCTTGTGACCGCTCTGCCCGCACAAAGACTCCAGCCCCTCGGTGGGTGGCGCGCGGCCCAACGCCCCCGAGTCCCTGATGCGCCTCAGCCCAGGGAGCTGCTCCAGCTCGCTGCGGGGTCCTGACCCCACCTGCAGACGGGACGCCTGGGCCAGGACGCGCAGCCCGGGCCCAACCAGGCAGGGCCCTCAGACGCAGGGACGTGGAGGCACAGAGCAGAAAGCACAGCCTCCGCTGAGGTCGCCCCTCTGATCACGACCCCACCACGCCCGCAGCTCCCGGGCTCCACCGGCGCTAACCACACAAGGAAATCACGTGGGGCAGACCTGGCCAATCACTCCACTCCACCCCTTTCCCTGATTGGTTCTGGGACAGACACGTGACTCACCACAGCCAATGAGAACCAGCGTGGGGCTTGCGTGGGGAGTGCTGGGGAAAGCCTCGGTTTCCATCCGGGAGGCAGAGAAGACGCCAAGAGGAGCCTCAGACCAGCGCAGGTGCAGGAGCCCTGGGCGCAGCCTCCCCACAGATGGGCCTGACTCAGGAGCCCGTAAATCCCCATCCGTGTTTAAACTCTGAGTTGGGGCCGGGCACAGTGGCTCACGCCTGTAATCCCAGCACTTTGGGAGGCAGAGGAGGGCACATCACCTGAGGTCAGGGAGTTCGAGACCAGCCTGGCCAACATGGTGAAACCCCGTCTCTACCAAAAATACAAAATTAGCTGGGCATGGTGGCACACGCCTGTAATCCCAGCTACTCGGGAGGCTGAGGCAGGAGAATCGCCTGAACCCAGGAGACAGAGGTTGCAGTGACATCGCGCCACTGCATTCCAGCCTGGGCCACAAAGCGAGACTCCGTCTCAAAAAAACAAAGACAAAAACAACAACAAACTCTCAGTTGGGTTTTCTGTCACTTGCAAACCACTGTAACTGTTATGTGTGGTTCCCTGGAGGCTTCTGCTGAGATTCCCCTCTGCAGCCTTGGAGTCCTGGTGACTCCTGAGCAAGGAGTGAGCCGGCAGGTGAGAAGGCGCCCGAGGATGGGGAAGGACGAGCCTGCGCCTGTGCCGTTCTCAGGGCTGTGTGCCTGCACCTGCCGCCTCGGCTGGAAGAGCCCTGGGCCTTGAGTGGACCCGCCTGGAAAGCACTGCCTTCCTGAGCGTTCAGGGAAATAAGACCCTCAGTCACTGGTCCAGAGGAGCCCTAGCAAGGAGTGACCAAGGAACGCCACTGCATCCTTCAGAAGCTCCTGAGGGAGCCCCGCGCCATCTCCAGAGCCCGGCACCCTCTCCTCCTGCCCCTCCCCAGCCCCACTCTGCGCCCACAAGGGCAGGAAACCTACCACGATGACAAACAGGGCAGGGGCTACAAAGGCCCAGATGGCGCCACTCCCCAAGGACAGCCAGCAACTGCGGAGGGAAGCAGAGCCGTTACTTCAACCACCTCGTTCCACCTGCCAGCGTACCTTCATCCAAAAGTAGTTGCTCAGGTGATGTCTTTCTCAGCTACAGGGTCCACCTGGGGAAGCCATACAACTTTCCTAATCCCTGCAAATGTATTTTTATCCATGATGATCCCACGACTCATTCTTAAAGGATTTTCCAGGTTTGCAGACCAGGACAGCCAGCTCTGGAGAGTTTAGCCAAAATCCAAAATAGATTTTAATTTCATTATGAAGGAGACCTTTGCTGGGGACTGGCTTTCCTGCAGAGCACTTCAAATATGACCCAATAGGGGCCTTCTGCGAGGGATGACCATACCGATGAGTCGTCAGTGACACAGCACCTGACCATTCCCATACGCCCAAAGCTCGGGGTCAGTTCCACTCCCTCAGCGCCCTCCAACTGAGAGGAAAGGTTCCAGAGGGTCCTAGTGATTGCTCTGATGTCCTGAGAGGAGGGTCCGGTTTGAGGATCTGGCCTCTGAGAAGTGACGCCCAGAACTCAGGCAAAAAAAAAAAAAAAAAAAAGTCAGCTCCTTCACAATTTCATCTCCAGAGCCTATGGCACTGTCAAGAGCCTAAGATTCCCTAGGACATCTCATCTTCTTGACTCCTGGGACACTGTTTCCCAAGGACCTGGAGTGCCTTTAATTGGATCTGGGCAGGTGCGTGGTGCAGTCCTCACTAGCACACAATGTGGCGTCTCCCTGGGGCTGGCTTATTTCACTCCCTCGGTGACTGCTCACTGAGCAGCAGGTCTGCCCCAATGCACAACAAACTCCATCTCATTTACTCCTCTGCTGGCCCTGAGGTGGGCACTATGATCACTCCCATCCTGCAGATGAGCAATCTGAGCCCTAAAAAGCTCAGGTGACTTCACTGTGGGCAAACTGCCTCCCTGCCCCCACTCCTCCCCGAACCTCCCGGACCAGGAGACAGCAAATGCCCCAAAACAAGTGACAGCACCTGTAAGAGGCTCATTCATGGCTGCACACCCAGAGTGTGGAGAGGGGAAACCTCTCATCTGAGGATGCACCGTTTAAAAGGAAAATGCACCGCAAGTCTGAACGGTACCTCTGCAGAGGCACGATTCAAACCAGCTCTCTGGAGAGTGGGATGCTTCTGCAAAGAGAGAGATTGTGCTTTCCAGCATTTCATGCAGAATTTTAAGTCAACAAGGGGCTTCTGATAGATACTTTGTCCTGTTCAGGAACCCGGTGAGCTTCCTGAACCTGGCTGGTGCTGCCTGGCTTTCGGGCAAGAATGTGGGAAAGGCTTATATTAGAGTCAGACCCTGGGACTCAGGACTGTGGGTGAGCCCAGCATCCTCACGCTCCAGATGGGATAAAAGGGAACAAATGCTGTCGAGCTGTGTTTGAGGAGAACATTCTTCTTCTAATTAGTCCCTCCACTTCTAACAGCATCCAGAATTGAAAGGATGGGCCAGAACAGTGGTCTGCGTAGCCACGCCTGTTTCAACGTGCTCTGTAGCCACGCCTGTTTCAACGTGCTCTCAAACACTGCCTTCTACAAATGCTTCGCCTTCAGGGAACCTGCACCAATGTGGAAAAGGCTGGATTTCTCCCAGTTTCACTATTCGTCTGTACTATTATCTCATTTTGAAGCTGTGAAAATGCCCAGCTTCCTTTCTGTTTGTAAGCACCGTCAATATTTATCTTCCACGTTTTCACTCAGTGGTTTCTCAGCTTGGCTGGAACAGGTAGCAGCTTCCAAGAGACATTTGAGTGAAAGCTCTTTAACTCGTAAGGAAAGAAAATCATATTTCTGGAACCTGAACAGCTGATCTGGTCCCACAGCACCATCCCATCCTCTTCCTGACACAACTGTGGGCCCATGAGCTGCATTTCAAGTGGCAGCAGGAGATACTGACATCACAAGATCCATTCCCTACTATCCAAGCAACGGGACCCTCGAGACCACCTGCCTGGCACACAGCAGGCCCCATGCACTCCAACATGCAGGTAGCTGCCCCGCTGTCAGTTACTGGGCACACGGTCTGCACAGTGCCCTTGCTGACCACCCCAAGAAAGGGTGAAAGGGTCACAATTCAGCCTCCGTGGATGACCAGAGCTGTGTCTGAGAAGACCACATGGGTGAAAAATTTCCAAGCGGAAACTCCTACAGCCCCCTGCTATTCCTGGAGGCGCTCTGTAGTCTTTGTTGCTAGTTCCAAGGCCCAGAAAGGTCCAGAGCACAGCTGGGTTGTTTCTCCCTCTCCCTGGACCACGACTTTCTCACTGCCTGGGCTTGTGGGAGCCAGCTTTGCACAGCACCCCTGCACCCAGAACCGCACAGGCAGGCAAGAGCCATGGGGCTCCTCACCACAACCGGTTCCATGGAACGCCTGCCAAAAGCAAGGCAAAGCCCTGCACTTACTTGTTGCTTGTTCCGTAACTGTCCATGGCAAATGACAGTGAAATGATGCAGATCAGAAGAGGAAAGCCTGCAGAAGATCAGAGAATATCATGTTCACTTGCTCCACTTTTCTTCCCTCCCTCCCTCCTCCCCACTCCCTCCCTTCCTTTCTTCATTCCTTGTACACCTGATACATGTATACGGAGGGGGAACTATGTGCTACTTGTCGGGACACAGAACAGCCCCTATCCTCAAAGAACTTTTAGTCTAAACAAAGGAATCACACACACTCACACTCATACTCACATGTTCACACTTATGTACTAGACAAGAAAGTGTATGAGTCTTCATCAAAACAAACCATGTGGGTGAGATGTAGTGTTGTGACTGGCAGGAAGGGAAGCTCAGCTTGGTCTATCTAGACCTGTGGTTCTCAACCAGGGCCAAGGTGGCCCCACAAGAGACAACTGCCAATGGCTTAAGTCATCTAGGGTTGTCATAATGGGATGGAATCAGGCAGGCAGAGGCCAGGGCTCCTGCTAAGCACCCGACAAGACTGCCCCACAAGAGTCACCCAGCCCAAGTATCCATAGTGTTGGTTGAGAAGTCCTGTTCTAGAGCAGCAGGGGAAAAGGTGGGAGATCAGTTGGGACTAAGGGGACATTGGATATGGCTGACTTTGCTATGCACACGGTCCACATTCTTATAGTATTTGAGCCTGTAATTTCCTTAGGGAACCCATCACACTCCATCTTTCATGAGGTCCAGGCGGGCTGGTTCCTTCCTAGCTCTGAGGCATGTGACCCAGGACTGGCTGACTGGAACGTCAAATCCCCCAGCCACAGCTATTGGTTCAAAGATGGACATGTGACCCTGACTGGCCCAATGAGACTCAATCAAGGGCTTTCTTCAAAACTGCTGAGAAGAAACTCTCTTTTCCACCAAGCCCCTAAGAGGATAAGGATGTCAGTGAGCTTGGGGTCCAGGCAGCCATTTTGGCACCACGAGAGAGTACGTGGCTCCAACACACAGGAGATCAGATCTGAGAGATGGAAAAAGAAGACAAAATCTTGATTATATTACTTAAGCTCAAGGATCAAGCCATACCTGAAGTCCAACATCTTGGAACTTTTTTGTTATGTGAGCCATTACATTCCCTTTTTGCTTTAGCCAGTTCAAGTTGGATTTCTCTTACTTGAAACTGAGTGTGATAAATTAAATGTGTTTAATATTTGACAAAGCCAAGTGAGACTTTTGGGGGTGGTGATAGAAGGGAGGTCCATGAATGAGGTAGAAAGCATCTGGATCACAGCAGTCCCCAGAGCTTCGTCATTCTGCAACGAAAACACTCTATGGTCAAACTACTTTTAGAAACTCACCTAACCCAAATCTGAACTGGCCTCTACTTTCACTTTTAAAGTGCAGAGGTTTTGTGTGCTAATGTGTCTCATGACTCTCCAAAAGGAAGATCGCATTGCAACACTTCTCACGCTCAGCCATCCATGGAATTTGTCTGGAAACATGGCTCTGCCTCCACATGCACCTGTGAGCTTTGAAACAGATCCTGCACGAATGGGAATCTGTTTCTGAAAAGAACACACTTCTGGTTACTCAGAAAGTGCAGCATCGTCCACGGGGCCTGCTCTGGTGCAGCCACCCTGAGCACAGCAGCCTCTCTCCTCTGCTCCCTCTGCCGGGAAGGATGGGAGAGAGATGGAGAGACTGCAAAGGACCAGCTCCTTACTCCACCCTGAACCTTTTCCACAGGAGGATGCTCAGGAGAAGCGGCTCCTGGCACATCTCGGATTCCTGGGATAGCAGCGGGGGCGATGGAAGCCCATGAAGAGCATGCGGCTCTCTGCCTCAGTAGCTGAGGTCACACAGGTTCTCGGAGATTTCTGCTCCAGAGGAAGGAGGAGGAGGGAAGGTGGCTCCTGGCACCCACCCCCGGCTCCAGCACCCGCCCGAGCGCCTCCAGGCCACAGTCCTCCAGTGCCCTCTGGGGGCAGAGTACACACCGTGCCTGCCCTTCCAAATGTCAGGGTTTGGATTTTAAGTTAATTACCCTGGAAAGACATTTCCTGGACAGCCTTGTCTCTGAAATACTTTGTTTTAAATGTCAAAAGGATTTAAATGCATTACAGAATGTCTGGGCAATAAAGTTGTCCAGAAGGAGACGAGGTGGCCTCTGTGGAAGAGGTACACAGTTGGGGCCCAGCAGTGACCGTGGGCCTTTGTCATCTGGTCACTCTGAGTTTCCCTATGTGAGCTCCACTGCCATTTCTTCCCCTGCATCTACCCCTGCGTCCAGCAGAGGCCAAGCCATGGGCAAGGGTCTGTCTGAGAACAGGGTGGGCCCCGCTGTCTGCGTTCTCCAAAATGAGCTGCAGAAGCTACGAAGTCTGTGTGAGTGAGTTTGTGGGGCTTTTTAAGAAGAAAACATTCCTAAGTGGGAGGATAAGGAGAGGGGCAGTAGGATGGAGAAGACAGTGAGTGGGAAGAGCATGGGCTTTGGGTCCAGATGACACCTCGTTCTATTCCTGGGGCTGCCTGGGACCAGCTGTGCAGCTGCAAGGAACCAGCCGAAATTCTGTGCTCAGACCATGGGAACATAGTGAGTGCCTTCATCATTAGGACGTGAGGATGACATACACTGTCTCTGAATCATGAGCCCCTCGATGATGAAGCTAATCCCGCAATAATCTCTATCATCAACCAGCTCAGACCTCACCCCTTTCCCACCACTGCTGTCGTCTGAAACTCTCACACAGTAACCCGGGGCAGACCTGGAACATGCTTCTGCCAACAATTTAAGTCCCTCTGGCCCTATCATCAGAGACATTTACTTTGTGTGCTCCTCTTTGCAACACGGTGACCTTTAGAGGGACGAGACCGGTTCTGTCCTTGGCATCTGCCCCTAAGATTCAGGGGCAGGTGAGGAGCATGTGTTGAGAGATTAACCGAGGTGGGTGAAGCGAAGGCCTGGGAGGATGGGCACAGGGGCAAGGTGTCCCGACAGATGGGGTGGAGGGAGACAATACCAGGGAACTGTGGAAGTCACTGGTGCCACCTATTTCCAGATGCCCCACATGTGGGCACAGGGGAGGTCCGCATTCCTGCCCCTCAGGGTTCTTGAGGCCATGGGGCTGGCTCTGGGCACTGAGTTGTGTACAGAAGCGACACGTGTCTTATGGGCTGAGCACATGATTTCCAGTGCAGTGTCCTCTCTGACCCCTTCCCTTGCACAGCATCCAGCAATGGCTCGAGGCGGTGCCTACTCCATCTGCCTGGGCTCTTCACTGTCCACCACCACTGGCCATCGTGGACATGTCGCGTGCACAGGAAAATGACGTTTGTTCTTTAAAACCAAGGAGGGATGGAAGCTGTTTGTTATTGCAGCCTTGCCAGCCTGCCCTGACTGATCCCCCTCCTGTGATCGTGGCATTATGCAATCTCCCTGGAATGAAAATGCAGCTTCAGAGAAAGGGGGGGCCTGGAACGAAGATTAAGTTTTGTCCCCAGAGGAATAGGAGATCACAAAAGAAACTAAGTTGCAATAAAGAAAAATAAAACGAGCTACATTCCCTTCACCTCTGAGTTTGCAATCAGAGTTTCTTGTCTGCTTCAGTGATGTGTAAATTCTCCAATGCTTGTCACTCTGCTTTCCTGGCTTCCTTGTGGGCTCCTTGAGGACCGAGGATCTGTCCCTCCCTTCAGAGTTCCTAGCACAAGTCTAGTAGTCAACAACACCTTAAGGTAAGGTGTGGATTTGATGCCCCCACCACCCCACCTCAGCTTCAGAACAGTCTCTAGGTTTCTAAAAAATAATATTGCTCAAAAACTAGAGTAAGGCCAGGGTGAAATCTGCAGGAAGAAGCCGCTCGCCCAGGGGCTCCCCCCGCCATGCTCTGGGTGGGCCTCCAGCTCCTTAATTAAAAACTGAAGGTCGAGAGAGCCCAACTGCCTGCAGACCTCCCGACTTCAGCTTGTAGCCAGCTCCAATCCATTTGGAATGAAAGACACAGTTGTCGGGCTCCTGATGAAATTAATTAAGGGAAGCTGACAGGGAGATAGAAGGAGGTTGCAGGACTCACAGAACCAGCCAGCGCTCCATTTGCAGAGAACTGTGTCAGGGACTACAAGCTCAGTCTCCTACTGGGGCCGCCTTGGTATCAGAAAACACACAGTTCCAGCCACTGTTGTCAAGGAGGAATATAAACTCAGGGTATTAGATCTCCTCATTTTTCAAAAGAACTTTGTAATCTTGTGTAAAATCCCTCAATCTTAAAATATTGGCAAATATTTCACTTTTTCCCTTTAGTATTGTGCAGATCAAATAAAACATCCTTCCAGGCTGGACTGGTTTAGATCCTCTGTCTGTCACACACGCACCCCAACCCTATCCCATCGGCGACATAGACAGCCCCACTACAGAGATTCCTCTCACTCTGGCAACAAATCCTACAGACACTTTTCGTTCACCCCAGCTGTCTTTTCTGTGGCTTATGGAGAGTGTGTGTGTGCACGCACACATGCACATATGCCTCTAAATTATATGACTGTATCCATAAAGAAACTATAATAAACTATAGATGGTTGGCTGTAAATCATCCTCTAAATCCTCCCTGATGAGGTCAGATATCATCGGAAGGAGCAGCTCTCCTCTCTGGAGCATCACAGAGGCCTGAAGAAGCAGGTCACACGTGACCTGGAGGGAGGGCAGAGGACACTGACCTCAGGACCAGTGTGTGCAAAAGCATCCTCGTGATGATACAGCGTGAGCAGCGGGACAGGACAGAGGACATCCGTGTGACTGGGGGAGCTCCCTGCATGACCGGCAGCAGTCTGCAGGTGGCTGCCCAAGTGGCCTCTTCAGTCTCCCCAGGGAGCCACGAGGGGAGCATAATTTATCTCCACTTAATCCTCAAATAAATTACATTTGCCAACTCAAAGCACAAAGTAAGCCTGTTTACCTGCTACTTGCATAATGAAGACTGTGAAAATTAAATGTATTCGAAACAAGCAGCAGGTCCCTCATGTCTGGTCAATGTTCCACAACAACTGTGAGAATGCTGACTGTCAACGCACAGCCCGACCCAGAGCCTCCAGTGCCCACTGGGACTCCTTGGGATGGGCAAGGGCAAAGCTCAGCAAGGAAGCCCCGTCACTGGGGAGTGGACTCCCAGAATGACAGCACGAACTGCTCAGCTAACCCCTCCCCAGAATGACAGCACGAGCCGCTCAGCAGACCCCTCCCCAGAATGACAGCACGAGCCGCTCAGCAGACCCCTCCCCAGAGACAGCACGAGCTGCTCAGCGGACCCCTCCCCAGAATGACAGCACAAGCTGCTCAGCAGACCCCTCCCCAGAATGACAGCACGAGCTGCTCAGCGGACCCCTCCCCAGAGATAGCTATCGCTGAAAAAAAAGTTTTAAAAAACATAATCATTTAAAGTCTCTGCACATTTCCCTAAGGGTATAGAGCAAATTAAGAAAAATTGGCTCAAGAAAATCTACTAAATCTTGTTAAGAAGACTGAGTCTGTGGCACTTCAGCCAAAACCTGCTTCCCTGCCCAGCTCGGTGTGACACAGGCTCTGCTCCAAGTAGGTGTGGGCAAGAAGACGGGGCTCCACTCCCTCTAGCTCCCAGTCCAGGGCTGTGGTATCTCTCCAGGCTGGGGGAGGTGGGGAGGGCTGCCCGCATTTCTCATTCCCCCAAACTTTGTGCTCTAGAAGCTCCAGTCCAGGTAAAAGCAGCTGAAAGGTTGGGACTCCCTTCCTCCTCCAACTCATAGTGCGCAGGGTCTGTCCAGGTGTGGCAGGCTCGGAACCCTGGGGCCTCACTGCCCTCATCTCTGCTGACTCATGGGGCAGAGGTTCTACACTGCAAGAGACAAGCTCGGAAGATCTGAAGCTATTCCCCCACCCAGTGCCCTGCATGAGAGGCAGACATGTCACTCCACAAAAAGTGGGCCACTGTCCTTGCCTGCAGCTCCAGAGCAGAACCTCAGGAATTCTTCCCAGGAAAAGAAGCTACCCATTAGGTTAGAGAACTCCAAAGCGCTCCCCATGGGAACCGATTTGAAACAGAGTGGAGAAGTTCAAGCCTAAGGTGGTCCGGGGAAGAACGGAGCCTTTGCAGTAGGGAATGAAGAGGAAGCTGGTGGCTCCATGACAACACCAAGATAACCATATTCCGGCCGGTTTACGGGAGAGAGCCAGGGAAGAGACAGCTAAGAAGAGTCTTCCTGGGGTCAGAACAAATCTCAAAGACTGGCCTCAAAAATACCCCTACAAAGGGGCCTGGAGTTAATCAGATCAAGCTGTAAAGCAGCACGTGCCCCAAGCTATTGTTGGAAACAACAGAGACATAGTCTGGCAATTAGTGGAACCTAGCAGATGGTGTTATACAAACGTAAGTAGAGAGGTGGAGAGAGAGGCCATGGAAAGAGACAGCGTGCCCTGCTAAAACCACCGTCATCCCAGGGTGACTGCACATGCCTGAGACTGCCCTCTGGGGAGTGACTTCAGAGGACTCACACCATCACACCACAAGGGAAAAAGACCTTGCTAAATAGTCCAGCCAAGTTACTAAACAAATAAATAAGCAAGCAGGGAGAAGCCAGGGAAGGAGGGAATCTGTATCAAGGGTGGCTACAATGTATCATCTAAGATGACAAGTCTTCAACAAAAAACTATGAGATATACAAAGAAACCAGAAAGCGTGACACATACACGGGGAAAAATCTAGGCAACAGAAACTGCCTGTGAGAAGGCTCAGTTGTCATATTTATCAAAAAAAAAAAAAAAAAAAAAAAAAAAAAAAAAAAAAGCAATCATTATAAATATGTTCAAAGAACTAAATGAAACTATCGTTGAAAAAGTAAAGGACTGTATAACGACCCTGTCTCATCAAACACAGAATAGCAATAAAGAGATCACAATTCTAAAAAAAGAACCAAATGAAAATTCTGGAGTTGAAAATATAATAACTGAAATGTTAAAACTCCACTAGAGGGTTCCAACATAGATCCAAACTGACAGAAGAGTCAGTGAACTTGAAGAGAGATAAAGAAAGATTATGCAATTTGAAGAACAAAGAAAAAAAAGAACGAAGAAAAATCAAGAGTCTCTGAGAAATGTGGAACACCATTAAGCACACCAACCTATTCCTAATGGGAATATTAGAAAGAGAGGAGAGAGACAAAGGAACATAAAATGTATTTCAATAAATAATGCTGAAATGTTCCCAAATTTGATGAAGATAATTAATCTAAGAAGCTCAAAAAACACCAAAACGTGGGCCAGGCATGGTGGCTCATGCCTGTAATCCCAGCCCTTTGGGAGGCTGAAGTGGGCGGACTGCTTGTGCCCAAAAGTTCAGGATCAGCCTGGACAACATGGAGAAACTCTGTCTCTACAAAAACACAAAAATTAGCCAGGCATGGTGACATGTAACTGTGGTCCCAGCTACTCAAGAGGGTGAGGTGGAAGCATCGCTTGAGGCTGGGAGGCGGAGGCTGCAGTGAGCCGAGATGGTGCCACTGCACTCTAGCCTGGGTGACTGAAACTCTGTCACAAAAAGAAAAAAAAAAAAAGGTAAACACAATGAGATATACACCCAGTCACATCAGAGTTAAAGTGCTGAGAGACAAATACGAAGAGAAAGTCTTGAAAGAATCAACAGAAGAACAATTCTTCAAATACAAGGGGCCCCAGTGAGATGGAGCCTTGACTTATTATGAGAGACAGCAGAGCCAGAAGGCAGTGAGATGACGTAGTCAAAGAACAAAAGGCAGAAAAGAATCTTATATCTGGAAAAACTACTTTTTAAAAAGGAAGATGAAATAAAGGCATTTCCAGATAAACAACAACTAAATCTGTTGCTAGCAGACATGCCTTACAAGAAATAACAGAGAAAGTTCTCCAGGCTGAAAGCAAATGACCCCAAAAAGTAATCTTAACACACACAGAAACATATATACACATAGCAAGCAACACCACCAGATGGAAACTCAAATTCACAGGAAAAAAATACAGAGAACCAGAAATAGGAAATAAGAAGGTTAATATAACTCTATAAATATGCACTTGCTCTCCTGTCATCCCAGCTTCTTTAAAAGATACAAGATTAAAGCAATAGTTATAAAAATGTATTATTGAATTGTGCCTTATATAGATGTAATATGTATAACAATAATCACAGAACAAAAGGAAGAGAGAATATGCCTATATAAAAATAATGTTTATATCTTGTGATTTAGTATAAATTTGGAATAGATTCTAATATGCTAAGATGTATATAGTAAGCATTAGGTCAATCGCTAGGAAAATAACCAAAGAAAGTGAAAAAATCATTAAGAGAATTAAAGTGTTACACTAGGAAATATTCACTTAATTCAAAAGAAAGAAGTAAAGGAAGAATAAACAAAACAGACAGTAAGCACATAGAAAACCAAGAGAAAAATTGTTGATGTGAATTCACCATATATATCATAACATTACATGTGAAAGGATTAAATGACCCAGCCAAAAGGCAGAAATTGACACACAATTTTTAAAAATCCAATTGTACTCTGTTTACAGGAGATATGCCTTAGGTTCAAAGATACAAATAAGTAGAAAGTAAACGGATGGAAAATATATACACTCTGCAAACAGCAACTGCAAGAAAGCTGGAGTGGCTCTACTAATCATATGGGACAAACAGACTTTAAAACAAAACATAAGGAGATGAAGAGATGTTTTATCAATGTAAAAGGGTTGATTCATCAGAAAGATGTAAGTATAAACATATGTGTACCTAAAAACAGAACCCCAAGCGACAGGAAACAACATCAACAAATTGAAGGGAGAAATAGACAACACAACAAATGGTGACTTCAATACTTCAGTAACGGACAGAACAACTAGAAAAAAGATCAGTGAGGAAATAGAAGACTTGAACAACACTATAAACCAACTTAGGCCTAACAGGTATCTGGAGACTGCTCCATCCAACAGGAGAATACACATTCTTCTCAAGGGCATATGGACCACTTTCCAGGACAGATACTTACTAAGACATAAAACAAACCTTAATACAGTTAAAAGGACTGAAATCATACAAAATATGCTGTCTTTCCACAATGAAATAAAATCAGACATCAATAATAGAAAAAAGTGAGAAACTCACGAATATGTGCAAATTAAACAACACAATAATCAATGGGTCAAACAAAAATTAAATAAATTTGAAAATATTTTGAGATGAATTTAAAATGAAGGCACAAATGAAACATACAGGATGCAGTTAAAGCAGTGGGAAGAAGGAAATATATCACTATACATGCCTGTATTAAAAAAGAAAATCTCAACTCAGTAACCTCCACTTTCACTTCGACACACTGGAAAACAAGAAGAAACTAAAGCTAAAATAAGCAGAAGGAAGGAAAGAATGAAGATTAAAGCAGAAATTAAAGAAACAGATAATAGAAAAACAAAAAAGAAAATCAAACCAAAAGTTGGTTCTTTGAAAAGATCACCAAAATTGATAAATCAAGTCAGGAAGGTTGGAAACGTTTCCAAGTGATGTGGAATTTTTGCCTTTGATTAGCCAGTGGATTCTCCTTCCTAGCTGGGTCTCTAGGCGGCACCAAGAAGCATAATATGAAGATGAAAGCACATCTGACTTTCCCTATCCCATCCTATCAAACCCCATTTCCAGCTCCCCCCATCCCCACCTGCCCCTTCTGTCCCCACTTCCACCTGTCTCATCCTGTCCTGCCTACCCCATCCCCACCTATCTCTTCCTCTCCCTCCTGCCCTGCCATCCCACCTGCCCTGCCCCACCTACCCCATCCCATCCCATAGTAGTAACGGTGCTTGCTGTCCTCCGACCCAAAGACCTTGATCACCATGCTGTAGAGGTGCAGCCCCTCCACCAGCATCCATGCGAAGGCACTCAGGAAGAAGTAGTGGAGGAGCACGGCCATCACCCGGCAGGGGGTCTAGGATTTAACCAGAGATGGGAGGTGAGACAGCCCAGGGTGGGCCCTGGATGTGGCTATGGTCCCAGCCTCCCAGTATCCGTGGCCTGGGGGTCTTTTGGTCATGTGACCACATTCCTTCCCAGGGTATCTTCCTGTTGCTCAAGCCCAGGGATTTGGGTGCAGCACGTGAGGCGTGGCTAGCCAATCACAGTACCATGTTGTCCCCAGGGATGGTGATTGTTTCAGGAGAGGGCACAGGACTCAGGCCCAACCAATCAGCAAAACTATCCATTCCTTGCAACAGGATTGCCTCAGGGATAGGCACATGACTCACCTGGTCCAATCAGGGTGGACACTGGGGCTAAGGCGGGGACTATGGAAGAGTTTCCCTCCCAAGTGAGGACTGGAGCAGGGAGCTTTGGAAGCCACGTGGCTCCCAGAGAGGTGTGGAGCCTGCCGCCTGCCATGTGGCTGAACCCTAGATGCTGAGACTTCTAGTTCTAACTAAATTGACTGCAGCTTCCAAGTTGTAGTTAGAACTGAAAGGGGCTCAGGCAACCATTGTGCTCCACAGGCTTCCCCTCAATAGGGCTCAGGGACAGACAGGTAGGGCCTTGGGAACCTCTCCATTCCTCCCCTGTAGCCTGGAGGCCCCAGGTGCCCAGGACGGAGAGAGGCAGGCCCTGAACTGTGCAGCCTCAGATCCTCCTGGGGCTCCACCCCTCTGCTCCCTGTGAGTCCAGGTGCTGGGAAGAGCCAGGGCTTGTCCCTTAGCTCTAGATAAAAGTCCAGGGAACCAGAGCCCAGGAAGGAACACAAACCAAGGACCCCAGGACAACCCAGCTCTGCTGGTGCTCCAAGTTGTGTCCTTCAGATGTGCCCAAGTCAGTTAGTTCTCAGAGAAGGAATGTATGAGCCACTAAATGTGCTTCTTGTCATCATGATCTGTTATATATAGATAAAAAATAAGACACACCTATTATTTTTGTTGGCTCAGCGACCCCTGGCCCTGTGTCTTCCAGGACCAGCTACCCCTTTCCCTTGGGGAGCAGCCCCTCCCCACCCGAGAGGCTCGGGTGGGACCAACCACTACAATCATCCTCTCCCATCTGGCACAAAGGTTTACCCTGTAGGCACACCCCTCAAACAGGACCAGTCGGAGCCCTTCCCTGGGATTCAAACACAGGTCTCTGGGAGAGCGGGACCAATCGGAGCTCTTCCCTGGGATTCAGACACAGGTCTCTGGGAGAGCGGGACCAATCGGAGCCCTGCCCTGGGATTTAGACACAGGTCTCTGGGAGAGCAGGACCAATCAGGGCCCTTCCCTAGGATTCAGAGACAGGTCTCTGGGAGAGGGGGACCAATCAAAGCCCTTCCCTGGGATTCAGAGACAGGTCTCTGGGAGAGGGGGACCAATCAGAGCCCTTCCCTGGGATTCAGACATAGGGTTCTGGAGGAAAGATGCTCTCCCAGTCCCCTAGGGCCACCAGCTGGGATTATAGACACCTGGAGCTGCTGCAGACCTGCCTCCCCTCCTGCTGCCAGCACACAGTGGGACCTCGCTCCCCAGCGTGGACTTGGACAGGCAGCGGCAGCATCACCTGAATGATTGATAGAAATACAGTATTCTGGGCCACACCCACAGCTCCTGAACCAAAATCTGCACTGTAAGGAATCCTCGCGTGATGGTTCACACCGGAGCCTGAGAAGCATCCGGCAGGAGAGCTTGAGGCCGTTGCACACCCTGTCCATTTCACGGTGCATCCAGGAACTTCGCGGATGCTCCCGAGTCCAAGGGGGGGTGCCCTGTGCGGGAGGTGCCTACTGCCACAGGAAGGCGGGTCTGTCCATAGGCAGCAGCCCCAGGACATGCATGGGGACAAAGGGCTCCGCTGGGCAGTGAGGAGGAGAGGCTCTGCTGATCCGCTAGGCATGGGGTAAAGCGTTCATCTTCTGTTGGCCAATCCTGATTGCACCCTAAGACCACGGGCTTATCCGGCTGGGTTCCTAAGAGCTTCTGCCAGAACCAGCTCCCTTTTTGCTCCCACACATGGAGCAGGCAGCCCTCTGTTTCTCTCTTCCATCAACTGGTTTACAGGCCCACGTCACTGCGCTGCTGGGTCACTTCAGAGTCTCAGCTCTTTGACTTCTGTGAGGTCTAAGACTTCCTAGGGCCCCAGAGAACTCCCAACTCCATGCAAAGAGCAGGGAAAGGTGGCATCTAGGTCTGCAGGTCTGCTTCGCTGAGCAGAGGTGGCACAACTGCTTGCTGTCAAGCACCTGATGAGGCACACAGCCTGCAGCTGACAAGAGTCCTGGTCTGCCCACACCAGGCCGTCAGCTTGGCCAAGGCCTGTAAGCCCTGGGCCCCAATTCCTTTATCTGTGGGCTGGGAGGATGACAGGTGCTTGGAGGGTGAGATGGCTTTGCAGATGCAAGCCCTTGACACCGTGCCTTGCGCGCAGCTGATGCTAGGCAGTGTGAGTGGGTGGCAGCAGCGGCAGCTTTACCGGAGGCTGGCGTGCAGCAGAGGAACCAGCTCGTGCGTGTCACGGTCTCTGCTTCCCCCGAAAAACCACAGCCCTGGTTGTCTGGTGAGATAGGGTCTGAAATTTGAGTGGAAAAAGCTAGCAGGAGAAGGTGCCACCCAGTGACATCCGAGGAGGCTGGGGAAGGACAGCGCAGGAACAAGGAGCTGCGCCCACTCACCGTGCCCGGCTCCAGGTGGAAGCTAATGAGCAGCAGGACCTGGGCCACCAGCACAGCGAAGGAGAGGTTGGCGTGGATGTGGTAGCGCTGGTTCCGGATGGTGCTCACGGAGCTGAGGACAGAAGCAGGGTGTGAGGCCCGGGCCCTGCGCCGACCCAGTCCCCCAGGCTCGGCTCCATGGCCCACAGAGTCCCTGTATCCATTTCTCCAAGAGCAGCCAGAAGGGCTGCTGTCACTCCCTGCTGTGGACCCTCAATGGCTCCCTATTGCTCTTGGATCTGATCCCACCTCCTTGCATGCCCACCCAGCCCTACACAGTCTGACCCTGGGCCGTGGCTCTGCCCTGACTCAGTTCTTTTCTTTCCCAACTCATGTTCCTGCTTCTCAAAGTCCCAGCTTATTCCAGCTTTGCATAGCTGTTCCCATGCGGTAAACCCTCTCCCCGGTCCCTGCATGGTGGCCCGAATGTCCCCCTCAGCATCAGCTTCCTGACCAGTGCTGGGACCCAGCTGCACCCCTCCCTCTCTGCCCTGCTGCCTCGTGGCGTGATCACCGTGAAGATGTTTGTTCTTGCTTTTGTTTACTTGGTTATCATCCAGCCCCCATTCAAGCATGTTCTCATCTCTCTTGGGCACAGTCAGGCCCTCAGAGCCGACCACACGTCTGTGCTGAGGAACGTGGGAACCAGAATGAATGTCTGAACTGAGGGGGGCTGAGGTGTCCCCCGGCCCATGGCCATCTCCTTTTGCCTGGCTTGGGTTCCACCAGAATTCCTGTGCCTGGGCTGGGGGCCTTTCCAGACCTTTCCAGCTTAGCTAAGCCTGGTGCTCTTACCTCCACAGCCCCTCCCCTCTCCCGTCTCACCCATCTTGAGATCTGGGGTGCAGGCAGGGGCTGAGGGGCTGTTGGGTGGATTAGAAAAGGGGACTCACGACAGCACGGCGAAGGTGACCAGCGTGGCCACCAGGCAGAGCACGGAGAGGGAGCAGCCCACATAGCTGATAGACGACAGCGCCACCTGGTGTCCACGTGCAAGCTGCGGGGAGCAGAGCAGAGGCGTCAGCAGCTGGCCCAGCCACCCCATCGGAGCCCGAAGCTGCAGAGGGCCCAGGCAGGTGCACAGCTGGTCCCGTGTGGGCGTGGTGCTGACCACCAAGCCCTGCCTCCCAGCCCAAATGTCTGTTGCTGCCACCTACAGAGGCCGATGCTGGGGTTGCAGCCCTGGTTCTGTGCGTGCATGTCCAGTGCCCCGAGGTACCCTACAGATCACTCAGGCTCCCTCAGCCACAGTCTGCAGACTGCGGCTGACGGGCTTGGCCAGGCGCTGAGTGTCCAGTCTACACTGCAATACACAGGGCTGCAGACAAAGAGTCAGCCTCGGAGCCAGACCTCCCAGGTTCAAGTCCCAGCTGGGCCATGTCCTGGCTGACAATCTGGGACATGTGACACTCAGCTATGAAATGAAAATAATGCCCGCTCTCCATTCCCAGTGGCCACAAGGACTCTATGGATTTACAAACATAAAGTGCTGCAGCAGCTAGGGAAGAGCCGGTTACCGCCCCGGCCCGAGGCCGCGACCCTCCCAGTGCCCGCACAATGGCTGCCGCCTGCACACTGTGGGCCTCAGGAAAGTTCTCTAAATGGACACGGTGGTGGTCTCCAGCACCCATGTCTGCGGGGTCCCAACACCTTGAGGGAATGAGGCAGAGCAGAACACACCTGGGGATTAAGCGGCTGCAGAGCCACAAAGGATCGAACCAAAGCCGCTGTTCACCAACTGCACAATCCAGACGGCGCTCCCTCGGTTCCGAAGTCAGGGCCTCAAGCTCAGACACGTGTGACCCTGGGCTCCAAGAGGCTCCGGGCTCCTAAGCCACAGGCCTGGAAGGGCAGCCTCCCAGCTGCTCACATGCAGGAGGGCGCCATGTGCTTCCTCCTGTGGTCCGTGGCTCTTGTCAGAGACCCAGCTGAAGCCTGAAGCCTGTATCACGCTGTCCCCGTCGGGCACAGAGACCCCAGTCCCCAGACCTGTGTCCCCCATCCTCCGAGACCCCTGCTTCCAGCTTCCTCCCATGGCATGGGAGTAGGGGGAGTCTAAATGCCTTCTTCCCTGATCACCAGGACAAAGGAACAAAAGGAGGCCACTCTGAGTGCATAAGGAGCTGTTGGCAATGACAGAGGAGACACCGCAGGCCCAGGGGACCCCAGCTCAAGGTGAGGCAGGCAGTGTCCTGGACCTCAGGGAGCAACCTGGGGCCAGGGGGCCCCCGAACGCTCAGCGAGCACCGCCTTCAACTGTGACTGACAGGGAGTGGGCTCACGCCCGAGGGGCTGCAGACGTGCTAGATTCCTGGATGCGTGGGGCTGGGGTAGGGGCAACCTGGACCCCGCAGCCTGGGCCTCCCCTTTTAGCAAGAGCTCACTTTCACCCTGCAGGCCCTGGTATCCTCTCTGGGGTCCAGTGCTTGCGGGAGACAGAGCCTTGGCCGGGCCCCTATCAGGAGTGAAGCAGCTGTTGCCATGACACCAGCAGCATTTCCCCTGGAGGGGCTCTTTTGTGCCCTCAGGCTCAGGGACAAGGCAGAGAGGCTGAGGGCTGGGCGGAGCCACCTGTGCTGAACGCTGGCTCAGGCCTCAGCAGGCAAGGACCTGGGCACAAGTTCCGATTTCCCTGGGGCTGGACTTCCCTCTCCACAGATGTCGTGGCTATAATGGGAAAGGTGGGCACTGCGTGGCCAGGACCAGGGAGATGGAAGAATCCCCCTTCCAGGTTCATGACGCCCCAGGGAAAGAAGAGGAGCAGTCACAGGGGAGACCATCAGTGTCCCTGAGGGTGAGAGGGGACTCTGAAGAAACGGGGCCCCCTGTCCCCTCAGGAGAATGGCTGCGATTTCTTGTTCTTGTCTCTGGTTATTGCAGAATCATCCAGTTAGGGTGGGAGAGCCCCACTATTCCTTCTCCCATGGATAAACCTTTCTCCTTCAACTCCTGGGCCTGGCCTCCCATATTTGAGAAGACCTTCAGGCTGCTGACCTCTGCCTCCTGGGAATCACAGCCACGCCCGTGGGCTTCCCTGCAGCAGGTACCACGATGTTCCCTGGGTGTGCGCCTCCATCTCGGCTTCCCCTGACCCTTGTGGGCTCTCCTGCACTGGGCTGGAGGAACTCAAGGTGGAGACTTCGGTGAACTCACACCGACTCTGCCCAGAGCCCACTCCCTATCCCTGCCTGGCAACAGCCAGTGCACCTGGGACGCTGTGGGTAAACAGGGGCCGCCCGGAGGCCCGAGGCTGCCCAGTGCTGCCCATCTCTGCCCCCACCAGGTGGGAGCTGAGGTCACAGGCGCCTTCTGCCGGCAGAAGGGGCCTTGTGGGAGGGGAAGGCACTCCTCAGTCACCTGCCGAGTATGTTTGGCAAAACGAGTTGCTCAATAGGCGACACTGCCAGTGCCTTCCCACCGCAGCATTCTCGGCAATGGAAACAAACATCTCCATCTGCAGATGGACGGGCCAAGAGCTACTCCCATTAACCGCATAGCCGCAGTGGGTGAAGGGAACTAAATTTCTAGGCCACATTCCCCATGCTCCGTGTGTGACACTCCAGTTTCTGCATGACATTGTTAGCAAATCCCATGAAATGATGTTTCTGGTTTCAGATAAATTTGGAAAACACTCCATTCTCTGCACCCCTTAGAAGACTTTTTGGATGAATATAAAGCCACTTAAGAGTTCTGAGGATTCTGCAGGTAAAAAACAAAAACAAAAACAAAAAAACACCTGTTTAGCTATGTTTAACTTGGCATTTCTTAAACTCTTTGGAGGAGGAAGGGAAAAGACCCAGTGACAAAAACAGAGATGTGGTTTAAGAAGTGCTGTTTCAGAGGAAGTGAGATTTTGCAGAAACTAAGAATAAAACCAAATAAACTAAGAATAAAACCAAACACAGGACACACTGACGTTGTACTGGATATGCAATCTTTCTTTGCTGTCTCCTAAGGCAACAGAAAAGTCTTGTCCCTCACACTGATCTCTGCCTAGAGATGGAAGGAAGGGTCAGTTACAAAAGTTTTGGGCCTCAGCAGAGGAAGTGGTTCTTGGAAACGAACATCCACCTCTGCAGCAGTCACCAAACTGAATTCAGTTAAAAACCAATGGAGGACACGCGCAGTGGCTCATGCCTGTAATCCCAGCACTTTGGGAGGCCGAGGCAGGCAGATCACCTGAGGTGAGGAGTTTGAAACCAGCCTGGCCAACATGGTGAAACCCTGTCTCTACTAAAAATACAAAAATTAGCCGGATGTGGTGGCCCACACCTGTAATCCCAGCTATTCAGGAGGCGGAGGCAGGAGAATCACTTGAACCCAAGAGGTGAAGGTTGCAGTGAGCCGAAATCATGCCACTGCACTCCAGTCTGGGCAACACAGCCAGACTCCATCTCAAAAAAAAAAGAAAGAAAGAAAAAGAAAAACCAATGGAAACACTGCTAGTGAAGGAAGGAAAGCAGTGGTGTCCAAAAGCCTGCCTGGCCCACTGCCCTGGGAAGCCCCCCTAAGAGATGCACCCCACACAGGTCTCCACCCCACAAGGCCCTGGCTCCTCCCCACTCCTGAGCATCTCTGCTCTACCCAAGTTATCTCACGTCCCACCAGAGGGATGCATGTCACTCTCAGACACCACGACTGCATTTCATGGGGTGTCACCTCTCCCCCAGGGACATGGGAAGCTCTGAGGATGCAGTCCACTTAGGGAAGCTTTTCCTACCTCATCTCGCAGCTCTGAAAACAGCAGTGAGCACTATTGGGCACAATGGTAACCAGAGGGATTTGCTGAAGGCGTCAGGGGAGAAAGAGCCCTCACATCTACCCATCTGACTCTGCCACTGATTCAACAGATTTCCTAAATCTACATCACTGATTAATAATATCTTTTAAATTGAGAAAATAAAGCTTTAGCTCATCTATTTGCAAATGCAGTGAGGTTCCAGTGGGCTGATATGAGAGTTCGCTGCACACTGGGCTGCAGTTGGTCAGTCAACTCTCTAAAACATCTTAATCTCCATTCTTGGCCACCCATTCTACTGGGAGTTTCCTACAAATGGGAGCCTAGCCAGACCCACACCTACCCACTTATGCTGTAAGCCTTCCAACCATATTATCAATCAACCTTATTGCCAACTAACCACACCATCAACCAACCCATTGTCAATCAACTCACCATCAACCAACCCATCATCAATCAACCTTACCATTAACCAAGCCTACCATCAACCAACCTTACATTCAAATGATGCACCACTAGCTAATCTGACTATAAACCAACTCCACCATCAACCAATCCACCATCAACCAACCTTAACATCAACCAACCCCTCATCAACCAGCCTATCAACCAACTGTACCATCAATCAACCTGACCATCAACCAAACAGACCATCAACCAACCTTACCATCAGCCAACCCATCATCAACCAACTCATCATTGACCAACCTGACCATCAACCAACCCATCATCAACCAACTCCACCATCAACCAACCCATAATCAACCAACCTATCAACCAACTGCACCATCAATCAACGTGGCCATCAACCAAATAGACCATGAACCAACCTTACCATCAACCAACCCATCATCAACCAACTCCACCATCAACCAACCTGACCATCAACTAAACTGACCATGAACCAACCTTACCATCAACCAACCCATCATCAACCAACTCCACCATCAACCAACCTTACCATCAACCAACCCATCATCAACCAATCCATCATCAACCAACCTGACCATCAACCAACCCATCATCAACCAACTCCGCCATCAACCAACCTGACCATCAACCAACCCATCATCAACTCCACCATCAACCAACCTGACCATCAACCAAACCAACCATGAACCAACCTTACCATCAACCAACCCATCATCAACCAATCTACCAGCCAATTGACCATCAGCCAAACCCACCATCAACCAACCTTACCTTCAAGTAATCCACTATCAACCAACTCTACCATCAACTGACCCATCATCAACCAA